GCTCTAATGGGGTCTAACTGGCTCTAATGAGGTCTAACGAAACAGCCAGGAAGCAGCAGCTGAACATGCACCAACTTACAGCTCTAACCCCACCGAAATGGTGAGGTCTGAGTCGATTGCTGCTGCTCAAGAATAAGATCATAGAATTCAAAGATGTCCGCTTAATGCCTGACACCACTTAAAAAAGGAGGTAGTATTTGGAGAGGAATAAAAATGAAGATAATAAACATTATGCCCCTATGGAAATCTGTAGTACGTGTGGATCCTAGGTGCAGTGTGATGATAGTGTTCTTTACACAAACTTTTAATCAGATAAATACATTACAGTCCTTCAATCAGATGAAGGTGACCATGAAAACAGGGTATGTGGCAGAGACCTCTTACGACATGAGCAGCACAGAGATGGTGGATAGTGAATCAGCTCTTGTTGAAAAGATACTAGAATCCAGAATTTTGCAGAGGTTCCAAAAGCAACTGAACAAATTCAGTAAAGTCCCTTGCAGCCCATAAATTACAAATAATTACACCACTAGATTCCCAGGCTGCAAATTGTGGGCACTGCAGGAGTCTTCTAGAGAAGTAATTCTAGGAGGGCTATTTCTGCCCTCTTCTTATATTCTTGTTTTAGGCATTTGCTCTTAGTCGTATACAGGTGGTGTTGGTCATATAGGTAGTGGGTTTATTAAAATAAAATTGCAAGTCAAAATGGGTAAATAGCTTGAAATAGAAGAGGAAAAAGTCTCGGTGACAACTCGCAGCTATTTTGTTTATTTTATGAAGCTCTGTTTGGGGGAGCTAAACAGGATCACAAGACAAACACAAATTTAAGGGTAGTTTATGGATTTGAGCAGAAGTTGCTTTTGTTTTATTTTTCATCTTGCAGGGATCTGGAGAAGACACTGAAGGACTGTGTGGCATCATTGAAGCCATTGCAGAAGTTATCAAACTAACGGATCCTTCACTGCTTTATCTGGAAGTTTCAACTTTAGTTAGTAAATACCCAGATATCAGGTAATTCTCTTTTCAAAGTTAAATTTTATATATGCATTGTGTTAGAATTAGCTCAGGACTACAAAGTAGCTATATGTAAATATTTTCATGTTGTTCATATTTTAGAATATAATAATTTTCTTAAACTGATGCTAATAGAGAATGTGTATTTTCTGAACTAGCATAATAAAAATTACTTACACTCAGTGTTCTGGGAGTATAAAATACATCTTAGTCTTAAGAGTAGTAACAATGTGTTACATTGAGATGGAAAAGCTAGTTCTGAGTGACCATATATCTGATTAAGTACTTGAGGTCTTAAAAGTACTTCTAATACTAGAAATACAAGATATATTAGAAGTACACACTAAGGCTGGATTGTGAACTAAAAGTGATCTTTCTTACAGAATATTATTTCTACAGAGTTTCTTACTAAAGCCAGTTTTGCCATTTTCTTTTGGCAGGGATGACCATATTGCAGCTTTGCTCACAGTGAGAGGAGATGCCAGCAGGGATATGAAGCAGACTATCATCGAGACTTTGGACCAAGGTCCAAGCCAGCCAAATCCAAACTATGTCCCAATTTTTAAAGAAATTTCAGTTCCCACTCTAACCGTGCCAAAGCTTCTTAAGTAATTGACATTCTGTGGGTTTGTGTCATTACTACACTGGGATCATCATTTGAAATATTTGAGGGTAAATGTGGCAGTGCTTTTCCAAGTGAAGTTCAATACTGACACTTGCTGGGTATGTTTGAGGGCTTCATGTGGGGAGGCATAATCAGTTTTCTAAAAGCAAATGAAATTAAAAGCACTTGAAATCAAATTATTGTTTCAAGAATGAAGGTTCTGATGGCCAGATTGCTTTTAATTGACCCATCTTTTAGAGCCGTATTTGCCCTTAGGAAATATATGTTTCTCATGGAATATATTTGCAATGTACAGTGTGTTGCTGTATAAAGGTATTTATACTGAAAATAACAGAACTGAATTAGTGCTTAATGCAGAGTAAGTAGACCTGGATATACTAATGTACATTGCTTACAATACCTAAGCTGGCTATATCTTAAGGACTATCTTTATATGGCACCGCACTGGACGTATATTCTCAATTCACTTTCACGTTGTACTTTATATATGTATTTACTCTGATGTAAAATAGTTTATTTCAGAAAACGTAATTATAAAATCAGTCTCTTAGTTAAGAGATTCAAAATTGTTACCATGCAATTTGATTACAGAGTGAAGGAACTTTAAAAAAGATGCTTTAGGTACAAAAATAATTCTTCGTTGATTCACTAAAAACTACACAAACACCAATTTAATAAAATGTTAAAGCTGTTGCTACCTTCAGTAGTGTATTCCTTGCAACCTTACAGAATTACAGTAGATCTCATAATCATTTTTTTCTTCAATTGTTTGAAATTTAGAGCAGCTTAGATTAAATGTGTGAATATTACTCAGATTTAATAGTTTCTGGGAAACTTGAGTTATTCTCATTTCCATGGCATTTTAAAATTAATGCTTGAAGTTCATTTCTAGTATTAACTGCCTAATGACTAGAAAATTGCTAAATTAAAGTGTTTTCAATGAAGGACAGAATGAAGGCATCATCTCTGACAACTGTGTTCAGCTATTGCTAGGAAAGCGCAAGAAGGGGCAATTCTATTTTGTGCTAATTAATGTTCTTAAGTTAACATATTAGCTTGGGCATTAGCCTGTGAACACACACACACACACACACACACACACACACACACACACACACACACAGTTTGGCCCATCTCACTACCCAGAATCGATGCATTCAATGTCAGCAGCTGTGATGGAAGGTAAAACAAAGATGTGTGTGTGTGATGTGTGTTTTGTTTTGTTTGTTTGTTTTTCTTGTTTAAGCTTTCTGGAGGCGCAGTGCTGCATTTGACAAGGCTCTCTCTCCATCTATGCTCACACAGAATCTCTGAGATCCCTCTGTCAAGGGCGTTTGGCAGAGTGTTTTCATTGATTCATTAGCCATGTTCACTGAGACACCCATTCAAAGGACAGAGGTTATTAACCTGTTCAATTCTTTAAGATCTGTTGTCTTCACAGATTCCTTGCGTACTTGCAACCATTGTTTCCTTCTTCCTCAAAATGAAAATATTTCAGTTGTGTTTTTTGTATACTGTATCTTTAACAATGCATAGATTTTTTTCTTTTTCCATTTTTTAGTTTTCTTGTGTCCGCTGGGTTGGACAACTCTGACCATGCTTGATGTAGAGGCCAGTAAAACTTTCCCTCTTAGCTCTCCTGAAGATTTAATGCTCTCAGGAAAATAGAGCATTGTGTGTTCTCTCCATATGACTTTTCACAGAAGGATTTGCCCATACCATGATCACATAAGAGTAGCTGAAAGAGTGGGAAGAAAGAAAGGTAATCTTTGAAGTTTTGCTTTAGCAAATCTGCTAGCAAAAGGTACTAGCCCATTCTGTCAAGGTCGCATATTTACGTCGTGCGTCATGCTTTTACTTCATGCTTCCTGAGCTGTACATGACAAACTTGTGATTTACTTTTTCCAGCTTCTCTCTTTGCTAGCCTCCCCGTGAGTCATAAATCTGCATCCCAGCAGTGGATGACAGGAAAGGAACAGGGAATTCCTGTGTGTGTATGGCCGGGTCATGCTTCCCACCATTTGTAGTGAGGGTTTCACTGAGCTGCCGAAGGCTTTTGAGGGTGGTAGTGGCTACGTAGCAACTGACATCTTGTTTGACTTGTCTTGCTGCTCAGGAGCTGACCCTTGAGTTCACTGCGTTTTAAAAATAACCAGGATTTCCAAACCTGGAACTTTAAACACATTGAACTGTTGTTTGTACAGAGCAGTAGTCATCTCTGTTCAATAGAACATGACATTACTTTCCCAGAATGCTGGTCTGTGAATTGGAAAGAATTACATGGTAGTTTCCTTGGCACAATCTGTAGAGCTGCCGCTTTAAGAATGGCAAGAAGGGGAAATTAATTTCTTAAGCACATTCCTGTACAGGAAATAATCCTTTTGTTGTCAGAAAAGTGAATTTGCTGCCCATTTGTGTGCCATGTGCCACTAGTCACGGTCCGGAGCTACACTTATTTATTTATTTCAGAGCTGCGCAGGCCTCTGTGGCTTCCTGGAAATAAGCACGCCCTCCTGCCTGCCCAAACCCTATCTGTACCTCCCTCTCACACTGGTTGGGAATTTGCATGCAATTATTATACTGCTTACTCATCGTGCCTGCTCTGGGGAGGGCTTTTGATCTGTGGGTGTGACTTTTAGTATTGGAAAGAAGACAGTTTTCTTAAGGAGGCAGGGGTTTTCCTGACAAGTTTGAAATGTATTTAAATAGTAAAAAAAATGTTGATTTTAATCAAGATCCTGCCCCACTACAGGGCATTTGTGCTGTTCAGACTAAGCAACGTGAATCATCCTTCAGCACTTCTAGCAGGACGGCACGTGCCGTCCCCTCTCTGCATCCTTACACTATGACAGCCTTCAGTGCTGTCTGTGTCCCCAGCGTTAAGAACATTCCCGGGTTCAGACCCCTGTTCCTGAGGGAAGGCGGATGCGCCTTTCCGGCAGCGAGAGGAGCTGGTTGCACAGGGGCTGCGTGCGGGCCAGCACCTCCCTGCACACAGACGGTTCTCCCTGGGAGAAGCAAGGAGCTTTGCAGGGTCTGGTCCTAAAATTACTAACAATAACCCGAGTTCGGGAGCGTTTTCCCGGATATTCAACCCAAGCAGCAGTGGCGCTGGCGCAGGCGCCCCGGAGCCGCAGGCCCAAGGGAAGGGCCGCGGCTCCCCCCGCGCTGCCGGCGGCGGCCGTTGGAGCAACGGTCGCGGCGGCGGCTCCCGGGGTTCCCCGGGCGGCGCCGCCTCCGCCCGCCAGGGCCGCGCGCCTGCCCCGCTCGTGACGTCACGGGCCGCGCCGGCCAGCGCGTCCCGGAACTGCAGCGCGCAGGGATCGGGACCGGGACCGGGACCGGGCTCCGCAGGCTCGAGGGGCTGCGCCGGGAGATGGCGGCCGGCTACCACTATAGGCCCAACGGCGGCAGCGCGGCCGGGCTGGCCGACCCGAGCTTCCTGTGGAACGTGTTCCAGAGGTGAGGCCGTGCGGAGCGGCGGGAGCGGGGCCGCGGCGGAGCTTCCCTTGGGAAGGCGCCGTGCGCGGCCGCTTCGGGGCCTGCCGGAATGAGCTCGCAGCGCGGACCTGGGAAGGGCGTGGGTTAGCCCCGAAATAAGGGAAGGTTGCCAGGAAAATGCTGAAATCGGTGCACTGAGAAACGGGAAGGGTTGCAGCCTCCGAGGGGTCGACGTGAAAACACAGGGAGGCTTCTGAAAGGAACGTGAATGTTTGTGTGAAAGCAGAGCGTGCGACCCCCTAGGATACCCTGAGGATGCCGTATCCATCAGGAGCAGAACCTGGTGGGGTCCATAGGCCGCTGCTGCTGGAGCAAGTGCCGCTGTTGAGGTGTTTCCAGCAGTAAAGCTGACTGGGGATTCTTGTGTCCGTATCCTGTGGGAGAAATGGGGGATGTTCTGAGATTGCGCCTGTCTTTATAGCAGACACACAGGAGGATCCTTCTTGACTAAAGCTTGGAAGAAGAAGATAAGGAGTAGATAAAATCAATAAATCACTAAAACCGGATAGTGTTTGCTCGGTAATTCTTGAGTGACTCGGGAATGCAGTGGAATGCAGTGCCAATCCTTGCGGAGAAACCTCTTCAGCTGAGGGCATGGGGTGACAACCATGAGTGCCGCTTTGTTTTTGAAACATCTGGAAGGAAACAGAGGAACAAGCTGACAAATGTGCCAGGCAAACTGGTAGGAACCATCTTAATCAATGTGGCCAGTGGGAAGCGTGGCTTCTGTTGAAGGACACCCTGTCTGGCGAAGGACTGTATAATTCTCCGCGTATATTTCGTAAGGAGAGAGTTTAGGTATGGATAGAACTGGTGCAGTTGACATCTGCGTAGGTTTCCAAGGGGGTTTCGACAATGTTGAGTATCAAAGGCCTTTAAAGCAGTTTAGTAGCTGTAAAACAGAAGGATAAATAGCTGACTAAAAAATAAGAATATGTGGTCATCAATCACACTGATGGACAAAGTTCAAAGTCTCTGAACTAAAGGTCTCAGAAAGAAGAAAGTGGGGCTGCTTGTGAGGATGGAGTAAAGATAAACGATGAGATGAAATTTACTTATTACACTCTTGGTATAAAAACCACTGGGAGCACCTTAAAATACTGATTGCCTGGTTTTAAGAAAGATGATGGTCTTATAATGATTGATGAAATCCAGAATATATATGTGATATATATATATAAAATTATATATATATATAAAAATATATATATATTTTAACAAAATTTTATGTGTAAAACGAATGTTCTTTAACCAGACTGATGCTCAGGACCAGCTTATAGGTACACACTCATTTGTGTGAAAATGTCAACTTAGCACTTGTAAAAGGTAAATTAAATGTTAGGAAGTGTTAGGAAAGGAATGGAAAATAAAAAGGGAGTTTCTTTTTACTGTTGTATACTTATATGCAATTTATGCCTGCGACTCGAATATTGTATGCAGTTTAGATTCTTTCCTTACCTGAGAAATGACATGATTGAAGTAACTTGACAAGTTTATAAAAAGATAGCAAAGTATAAATAAAATGGCTTCTACAGAAGGACCAACCAAGCATGACTCTGCTTAGAAATGGAAGTAACTAAGGAAAAATAAAAATTGCCAGTGGCACAAGGAATGAGGGGTATTGATCCTACTCAAAGGCAAAAAGTGGGAAGCATCAAATTAAGCAGATAGGTACAACCTGTGGAACTGATCAGCTTGTCATTCATTCCTCGTGCCTAAATGTCAGCGAGACTTGCCATTTTATAGGTCCTTGGTCACTAGCCCTAGTCACAAGGCTTTTTGGTTTGTTTCCTTTGACCTAAAAAGCTCTCTTCTCCTTCCTCTTTCCCTTAACTGCTTAAGTGTGGCAGTCTTCAGAAATGTGAGTTTGTAGGTTTGAGCCCCCCCAAGTCGAAGGTGGAGACAAAGTCCTGAGCGGCCACTACAGCCCTTGTGTAGAATGAAGCCACCGTCACCTTCAGGTGTCCTTCTAAGGGAGTGATCCTACTGTGTACAAATGGTTTAGTTTCCTAATTTCAGGATAAATCTCCACTTGCCAAGTCTGTATACTGTGAAAGCATGGCAGAAGTTGGTATCTGTGTACTGTTAAAATATGCTTGAATGCCAGAAAAGGGCCAGGCTTTCACAAGGTTATTTCCACATTTTTGAATGTTTGCCTATATGCAAATCATAATGCACTTAATCATACTTAATCAAGAGAAGGTTGAGAGGGGATCTTATCAACTTGTACAAATGCCTGAGGGGAGAATGTAGGGAGGAAGGGGCCAAGCTCTTCTCAGTGGTGACCAGTGACAGGACAAGGGGTAATGGGTACAAGTTGAAACACAGGCAGCTCCATCTCCATGTGAGGAAGAACTTCTTCCCTGTGAGGGTGCCAGAGCCCTGGCACAGGCTGCCCAGGGAGGTTGTGGAGTCTCCTTCTCTGGAGGTCTTCCCAACCCGCCTGGATGCCGCCCTGTGCCCCATGCTCTGGGTGTCCCTGCTGGAGCAGGGGGATTGAACTGGATGATCTCTAGAGGTCCCTTCCAACTTCAACCATTCCATGATACATTAGTGGCTTTTTCTTAGTTTAGAAGAGCTGTCTCTCCAGTGTGTATCCTGTTCCAGTATGTCTCATCAGTCGCAGTGAGATGTTTCATTTGTCGTACAGTGAAATGGTTTACCAAGGAAAAGGTAATTGAGTACAAGTTCCCTACAGGTTGAGTAGGAGCTGGAATGGTTGGATTTCTACAGCTGTTAGGAGCACCTGTTAATTGCACATTTAAAGCTTGCAACTTTTTTTTTTTTTTTTTTTTTTTGTCAGGGTTGATAAAGATAGGAGTGGAATAATATCTGATAATGAACTTCAGCAGGCATTGTCTAATGGTAAGTCTGTAAATTAGCAATGAGGTAAGTGATTGTAAACTTAATGTTAAGTTTCATGAGGCTGATTGCTTCATGACAGAATTCTTTGCTGGTGGGGGAAGAAGTTCTTTACATCTTTAACTCTATTCCATCTACAGCCAAAGGCTTAAGGAGAGGATCATCACCCCTTCCCTCTTCTCCTGTTTTTGTGAGCCTCTTGTTCTTCAGTTTTGGGTTTCAAGGAAAGTTTTCTGCGTTTGATGCATGATAATAATAATGCACTACAAACAGGTATTCCTGTGGTATTGATTGGCATTCTAGGGAGAGAGGCATGCACATCACTTCTTTCTCTCAACTCTACTTCCTTTAAAGCACAGTGATTTATATTCCTTCCTCATTACTACTAAACATGTTCCCAAACTTAATTCCTGAATAAAATAGTTTGTTCTGAACAAAACCTTCAGCAAAAGCTGAAGTTTAAAGTAATATATTTCATTGGAGATTGTGCTGATTGTAACAGCCTCTGCCACTTTAAATTTAGTATTCTGTGAAGTATCTTATCTGATAATCTTCACTACTTATTACAAAAATATAAATGATTAAATTGTATGAAGCTATTTTAATTCCTTACTTACAGTACAGATTAGCAGTTGCAATGGCTGGCAGTTATGACAAGTCCCCACCGAATTAACTCACTATTAGGCAAAATGTTTCCAGAAACAGAAATTAACTTGATTTTCCAGATTTCCTTTATTCCAAAGATTCTAGATTTTATATATCAAAGTAGTAATTCTATATTCTTTTCAAAATATATTGTCTAATAGATGATTGTGCATAGCTGTCCTGCAATCTCAATGGGCTGAAAGAATGTGGATGTATTTATTTCTAAAACCTTAACAAAGAATGCAGAGCTCTCATTACAGACTGAAGTTGGATTTTGGTGTTCTTGACATCCAGCTTTCAAAATGCAAGTTTTATATAATAACAATATACTTATCTGGAAGAGATTTATCATCCCTGTAGAGCTGTTTGCAACTAAAAGCAAACCCTATAACTATAAAAACCAAATGAAACAAAAACCTAGCTATAAAATCATACCTCCTTTTTTTTCTCTCCTGCTGTATAAAGTATAGTAAGGGAGATGGAGGCATTAGTCCTTTAAGTTTACTAGAACAGTCTGAAACTAGCACAGTTCTTCAGCTTTGGAGTCAATCTTCTTTATGGAATTTGTCTCTCTGAAAATTTAAACGTGAAATAAATTACCTTCTAAACTGTGTTTTTACGTTTTTCTGTATTCTGTGAGAGCTAAATGTTCCCACACTATTACTAATTCCATTTTTTTCTGTTCCCTATCAGAAAGCATACAACTCTAAGGCACTGTTTTTCTTTATACTACTGGTGTTTCTTACACTTATTCTCTTCTTTCTTTGCAAACTCAGACCTTATATTTCTTTCTATGTGCAAATTGTCACATGAACAGTGATAGTACAGTACAGACTTCTTCCACCTTTTGCTGCATCTTCAGATTTACATTCATACAGCTTCCTGTTACAGGAGAAATTCCACATTGGAATAAGCAAGAGCTTCCACCAATGCCCTTTGATTCAGCAAAGCAGCAATGTTTTTTCATAGGCTGCTTAATACCAGCATTAGGTACTTGTGGTCACCAACTGCATTGTCACAAATTTCTGTCCAGTACCCATGGTTGTATTGGCTGTTTTAAGTCCCTGGACTTTAGTGAAATTAATAAAAGCATTTTGATCTTCCTGCAACTGTCAAAGACTAGAGAAGTTACAGTGAGGTTCCAGATGAGAAGCAGTATGTCTTAATCTACACCTTTACATTTCTTACTGCTGTGGAATGCTTCCAACCTAGAAGAAACTATTCCAACATGAGTAGCTGCTCTCAAAATTCAGGAATTCAGAGAAGAAAGGTAAAAGAAGAAGGAAAAAAAAAAGAGAGAGAGAGAAGAAGAAAAAAGCTCCTCAAGTGATTCCTGCTCAAGCACCTTTAAGAAGCAGCATTTCTTACTGGTCTGAAAATTATGATTTAAATTAACACTTCATTGAACAAAACTGGGATTTATACTAAACAACTAAACAACATTTATTCCTTACAATTAGTCTGCTCCAATCAGTGGAAGAACTATGGTTGTGTGTGTGTGTGTGTGTGTGTGTGTGTGTGTGTGTGTGTGTGTGTTTTGTTTTTGTGCAGCCTGAAGAATGTATTTTGGTTTCTATGTAGAAGTCCCTGGATTAGTCAACAGCTTAGTTACCTCAAAGCAGCCTTGTTTTAATCGTGTGCTAGCTCTGCTTCATCTAGCTCTAAATTCACTGTGCAAGTTCTCATCTGTTTTTTTAATGCTGTTTGGTTGAATTTTTTTCAAGTGTTCCTTAGTATCGAGGAACTGATTAGTTCTTCCTGTTTCAGGTACCTGGACTCCTTTTAATCCAGCAACAGTCCGGTCAATTCTTGGTGAGTATAACTGAGTTATGTGAAGTGTTCAGGATATGTTGTTATTTTGTGATCTGCTCAGGTGATTGAGGACTCCACCTGTTGTTGCATGGCTCTTGACAAATAATTACAAATAGAAATGTTTAACAAATGCCTTTTGTCAAGGCCTTCTGAAGCAGTTTAATTGGTCATAGTATTAATAAGTTGGTCTTTCAATATAAGACAGTATTTCACTCTTCCATCCTGTGGAAGCCTAATGTTAGTAAGACACATGGAAATAATGGTGACTTTGAAAAACAGGAATGTACTCCTTTGGTACTTACGTATTTGCACTTGTGAAAGTAGCCCGAGAAAATGGTACAGGACAACTGAACAGAGAACGAATGCAATAAGGGTATAGGGAAATTGTCAGCTTTAAAAAATTAAAAAGGCATTATGCAGATACTGTCTTATTGTATTTTTTCCTGTTACATTTACATCCTCTGGTGTGCTCCAGAAAGACAAAACAGATTTACTTTACTTTTTTTTCTTTTTTTTTTAATGCATCTTAAAATACATTGCAGCGATGTGGAAGATCATAGAATCCTTAAGGTTGGAAGGGACCTCAGGGGTCATCTAGTCCAACCTCCCTGCTCACGCAGGGTCACCTAGAGCACAGGGCACAGGGCTGCATCCAAGCGGGTTTTAAAGATCTCCAAAGGAGGAGACTCCACAACCTCTCTGGGCAGCCTGTTCCAGGGCTCTGACACCCTCACTGTCAAGAAATGTTTTCTTAAGTTCCTGTGGAACTTCTGGTGCCTCAGCTTGTGGCCGTTTCCTCTAGTCCTATCGCTGTCCACCACTGAAAAGAGGCCAGCCCCCTCCTCCTCACTGCCTCCCTTGAGGTATTTATACACGCTGATCAGGTCCCCCCTCAGCCTCCTCTTCTCCAGGCTGAACAGACCCAGCTCCCTCAGCCTTTGCTCATAGGGCAGATGTTCCAGGCCCCTGATCATCCTGGTAGCCCTGCGCTGGACTCTCTCCAGCAACTCCACATCCCTTTCGTACTGGGGAGCCCAGAACTTCAGATAAAATAAAGATGGTTGTGGTAGAAGAGAAGATGCATTTAAATCTTAAGGACATACTATTTTGGTATGTTTTTTGATAAATATTCAGCAGGATCAGAATTCTGTCACTGTGCAACATGCTATTTGTATAAAAAAGGCACAGTCTGGACAAGTATTGGTAGATCAAATGCAGTTTAACATTTCAGCACTTTAGCAGTCAGTGCATGTTGGGCACTTTAGAATCTCTTGAATCCTTAGAAAAGAGTAACAGTATCTCCAGTTTTGTCACTGGGTGATCAGTTGATCAGTCAAGCCCTAAATCTTTTTGCTTTCATGTTAGAAATGAAAGCCCAGGAAAGAATAAGCATTATTATGTGATTCATCCTGGTCTTTCTTTTCTTTTTCTTTTTCTTTTTTTTTTTTTAAATCTTTTTATCTTTCAAAAACTTCTGTATTTGCTTTGGATTAATAGAACTTCTATCACTTCTATCTCAGAAATTTCTCATTTTCTTCAGAACTTTCCGAAGTGCCCTCATTTCCCTTAAAAAAAGTCTTTATTTGAAGACTTGTGTTTTAGACATCTGTTTCTTTCCTTTGCTTCAGGCATGTTTGACAGAGAAAACAAAGGTGGTGTGAACTTCAATGAATTCACGGGAGTGTGGAAGTATATCTCAGACTGGCAGAACGTCTTTCGAACGTATGATAGAGACAATTCTGGAATGATTGACAAAAATGAGCTAAAGCAAGCACTAACAGGTTTTGGTAATTCATTTGTAATTATAGCTTTTTCATAGGCTTGCGTTGTTAAATGAGCTTACGGCAAGGGCTGTACTATGACAAACGTGACTAAAAAGAAAAATGGATGGATGAAATGCAGGTACCTGTTTCGGGTTTAAGGTGCCTTTTAAGGGTCCCACGCTGCAAGCACTTTTCTTTTTGGCCTCTTTGTTTATTGACATTCCTGGTTTCATTTTTTCTGTAAATATGGAATATTTTCTGCCTATTATCCCCTGAGATCACTACCAATATTTCAGTTAAACATTTAAAACTTAGGAGGAGACTTAAGAGCGTTCCCCATTTTGACATGAAGCCAGCTGTCTCAGTAGCAATCTACAAGCGACAGTAGCATTCTGGCAGAGAAAGCACTTTAGTGCTTTCTTTAAAAAGCTTTAAAAATATCATCTTTAAAAATCTGAGATGCAGCCCTAAACAGTTCTCTCAACCCACTAGTTAGTTTAATCAGTAATTATTTGTTGTGCCTTTACATCATTATTGAGCATGAGTCTTTTGAGTGCATTTCAGCTTAATGCTGTTATTATACAGTAGATATACTCACAAAAAAAAACCCCAAAACATTATTCTCTTGTAACCGCTTATTGTTTTCTCTCTTTTTTTTGTACCTTTTACTTGCCCTTTAAGTGACTACAGTCATTCTGTGAAGAGAGTTAGGTTATCTAGGGAAGCCTCTTAAAGCATTTCTTCTTTTTCCAAGGTTATCGGCTGTCTGACCAATTCTATGACATCCTAATTCGGAAATTTGACAGACAAGGAAGAGGACAAGTTGCTTTTGATGACTTTATTCAGTGCTGTGTTGTCTTACAGGTAAAAAAGAAGAAAATGTATTTTAACTTGCAATTGGAAAAACAATATATTGTTCCTTAAACTTTTCCTTTTGACTATATATACTTGCTTATAAATAAACACCCATTTAAATAAAGTGGACAAGAGATGTTAGAAACATCTTGCTTTTATTTTCTTCATCTGTTACCTGTTTTTATCACTTAAACTTCATATATTTTTTGACTTATTTATGAGGAAAAATAACACAAAATAGTCTCAATGGTATTAAAAAGAAAACACTTAATACTATTTCCACTAGCCTAATAAATACTTTCCTTCCAAATCTTGGGTGCGTTAGAACTAGAGTGTCATGTCCCCATGGTATAATTTTCAACATAATCAGAAGTTAAATTCTCTTAATCTAGGTTATAGGGCTCTGTACATATCTCTGTTTAAGGCCAGACTAATTAAAAAAGAATTTGACTGGTCTAATGGATTAGTTGGTCTTTCTTAATTGCTGCCCTGCAAGGGTCGTTCTGTAGTAAAGGACACTTAAGCCTTTCGGGATACCTTTTGTAGCAAATATATATATGAATGCATACATGAGGGACAACTAAAATTCTTGTAGTTATGTTTTAAGACCTAAAAACCCATCACTAAGTAATTTCTTCCTTCGATACTTAACTATTCTCACTCTTTTGTAATGCACATAAAGCTTTGAGAAACATTGGGAAGCTGTAGCAATGGACAAGCTAAACTTCTAGGAAAAGGAAGGATTTTTTTTATTTCTTACAGTGGCCAGCGTTGTGCCAGAAATGTTTTCTGACATGTAACAGGAAGAGAACGGTGCTGAAATATTATTTCCTTATTTGCAAACATGTAATTTTGTTCCTTTATAGCCTTACGCTTATAGCTGCTTCTTGCTGCTGTAACATCAAGTTGTGCTTATGTTCTTGTGTAACTTACTCACTTGTGTAACTGCACTTGTGTAACTGGGGCTAACTGTGCTCTGTTTGAAGAGCTCTTTAAAAGAGAATGTCATTTAGTTGGTGTTTGTGAAGCCATCTGGGATTTGTATTGGTCCGTTATCTGTCTTTCCTATCGTTGTTAAATACTCTTGGGTAACTGAGGGGCTTCAGGGAAGCAAGTGAGATCCCAATAACACTATATTTGGTAGAAAGTGAGAATTTGAATTCTCACTGATTTCCCTCTCTAGATCTATGACTCTGAAATGTTTTATGAACGTGTCTTATGAGCCTCCTTGCCTTTCAAAAACTAGTCACAGTTTTATTCTTTTCTTTTCAGAGGCTGACTGATGTATTCAGACGTTACGATACTGATCAGGACGGCTGGATCCAAGTGTCCTATGAGCAGTATCTTTCTATGGTCTTCAGCATTGTATGACGGTGACAGCTAAGGATTGTGCACTGACATTTTTACAGACTGGAGCTGCCAAATCATCATGTACTGAATAAGATTACTGATATATCGAAATGGGTACAACTTCTCATTCTTAAATTTGTACGTTGGTCACTACTTTCATAACTTCTGTACTGTCTGTTGCATTTTACTTTTTACTGTTGTACCACCTGAACATATCATGCTTACTGCAGCATAGAAAGCACAGAATCTATATTTAACCAGTGTCACGTCACTTTAACTTTCTTCCATGTATCTTGCATAGAGCAAAATGACACTTTAGAAAGGCCAAATTAAAATAGTGCTTGTTAGTTTGTAAAGAAATTTAAAAGTCAGACTTGTACAGCATGTTTTGCATGTGCCTTACTTTTATAGAAATTTAATGTATTCATTTTTAATACAGAGTTTAAAATTAAGTACAAATACTTGACTAACTTTTTGTAGTTTTCTTTTGCACATCATTTTAGGGGGGGTGGGTGGTTACGTTTCTGTGGTTTATTTTTCCATGGTTTAGAGCAAAACTATAGCTTGTAGCAGGTTCTTAGAATACCTACCGTGTGGCTTTTAGCTGGTGAAGTTTGGGAAGGGGAAAAATGGTTGTTTAAAAAGAAATTCAACTGGAAAGTAAGAGCTTTACAAAAGAAGGCATCTCTCATTTAGGCCTGAGAGATGTGGCTCCATGGCTGCAGACCAAACAGCAGGCTTTTGGAGAGATCACTCAAGGAAACTGAGGAATACTGCAGGGAATTGAGAGAGGCTGTTGTATCCAGACCTTTTTGCCAGAAATCACAGATCATTTTATTGGCTGGGAAGTTTACAGTTTATCCCCCAACACAGGTTCTACTTGGACTTTTAACAACAGTTTCATAAGGAAATTTGGTATTAGTTCAAAGGGTTCTGGTATAGCCTTAAAAATCTTGACTTAACGTCAAAGTTGATGGTATAGTTGTGTTAGTGCCGAAGGATAACAAGCATTTAAATAGCGATGCTCTGCAGGCTGTCAGTGGAGACTCATAAAGATTATTTCTTGATGAAGGACCAGAGTCTGGAGCAATGGGAACAGGAGGATTTCTGTGTGTGAGGAGTAGCCAGAAGGTAATTCAAGAAAAACAGCCAATAAAAACAGGAGTGGAGAGAGGTCTCTGCTTGTGTATCTTACTGAAAAATAACTGGCAGGGTGGCAGAGCTCTCAGGGCCTAGGTCTCAAGACCTCCCCCCTGCTCCTTGACGTCTCATTACCTGGTGCCTTTGGGGACAGCCAAAGTTTTGTTTTTACAAGATGGAGCTTTAAACAGGTACCTGGCTTTATAATAAGAGGAGCAAATTATCAGCTGAATCCTCCATCAAAGGTGGCGGAGTTGAACTGAGAGAGAAGGAATAAGTCAGTGTAAATCACCATCTCTCAGGTATCATGCTGCCGGGACTAGAAGAGAAGGGAAAACAGGCAGGTCCTCAGGGTGGATGTCTCCGTTGGCAAAAACTGATGGAGCGAGAGACGCTGCATAGGAAACCAGCCTGATTTATTATTTAGCCTGGCCCTGCAGAAGGAGGGAAGAAGTCACAGAAATCCTCCAGATGAAGCCATGATACTTAGAACTCACAATTTTATATAGCCCTAGAGGGAAAAAAAGAAATTTAAAAATAATAATTTTTTTAAAAAATTCACTCCTGACAGAGGCAAGTGATCCCTTTGCAGAGTTGCACCCTGTAGGTGCCTTTTTTTCCCCCTCGTCCTGTGAATGCCGGGACTTTGGACTTCACACAGCAGTGTGTTACTGTGATAAGAGAAATGCTGCGTGTTTGAAAGCAGCTAGTACAGCCCTTGGCTCCATCTGTTTGATAAGAAAAGGGCGTTGGGCAGTGGGGAGCAGAGGCGTCTGGGCACTCACTGGGGAGGTGAGAGCTGCGTGCCAAGGTCCAAGGCGCATCGGGGGCTGCCACGACAGAAACCATACGCCGGAGCTCTCCATTTCCAAATTGTGCAAAGATAGATGGATAAAAAGAGACCAAGAGGAAGCTGTGTTGCAGCTCGAGCTCTGCCTCATCCCTGCGACTGAAAGGAACTGAGAAAAATAGAATTGCACTGCAGGTAGCAATTGCACGTGAGGAATAAAGAAGACCTGGAGCACATAGCACAAGATAGCACGAGCTTACAAGAATATGTCTAAAGGCAGACAGCCACAGTGTCACCTCAACTTACTGCTCAGGAATGTAAGGAAAAGTTAAGTACGAGCCACTGATAAACATCATGGACAGACAGATGTTTTCCAGCATGTCATTTTGATTAAAGAACCTGTCTCTGACCATTATTTTAGCTGATTCTCCCATAAATTCTAATGTACAGATTAGACTTCAAGTCATTTTTTACCAGATTCATTCTGAATTACGGGATTTAAAAGTCTGCATATATTTCCCATCTGTCTCTTTTTATGTCACAAAACTGGAAACAAGTAAAATAAACAGTCTGGGGGATAGGTACATTTTTCTCATATAATAGCACATTAAGCCCAGATAGCAGAGTAACTGTGACACTCTCGTTCTGCTAAATAGAAATACAGTGTATCAATTTTTAAAGAAAAAAAATATACACACACATATATATATAAATATTAAAAACACTAATCATAAAACATTAACTGAGTTGACTTTGAATTTTTGTGACGAAATTTGAAATAAACCTGTATTTTCAATAAATATTTTCCTGAAATAGATAACAAAAGTAAATCTTTCTTTCTTTGTGGGTAGAAGAAAAGACTTAAAAGGGTGATTGGCTTTTGCCTGACATCAACATATTTCTGATATAACTCCTTTACATGAGAACTAATCACAAACTTACTTTGAAATGCTGAATCATACAGAGCCCACTGTTTTGCATGCTGGTCGTTGTAGGCATATCCTTTTTCAAAGTCTTTTCAAAATAAAGGGACCAACAACATCTTCATCTTACCTGACATTCTGCAATGCTGGTAGTCTCCGTGTGAACAGCTCCCAGAAAAGCAGTAATTATGTGACCTCCAATCACTGCTGTAGTCTGGCTTCTGTTGTGTGTATTCCAGAAACCTAGATTCCTCATTCCACCTGGAGCTACCTCTTCCTGAAGAAGCAGGATTTGCAAAACACATGCACATATTCCTAGACTCAGCACTGTTGTAAGAACAGCTTTGTGAAGGTGAGCTTTTTGAGTGTCTCCCAGATGAAGCTTATGGGGCAGAAGAAGTGGGATAGGAAAGTCCCTGATCAGTTATGTTCCTTAATCTTGTACGTGCTTGTTGATTCCTCCAATTTTGCCCATCCTGTGGCATTCTGGCAGGGAAGGTACTTCATCACACGCCACAGAACCTGTGTCCTTCTGAATGCCCATCACTGAACTTGTCTCATGGGAGGAGGTCCTACTGTGAGAAGCCACTGAAGCCTCCCAGACACTCACTCATTGACACCACTGCGAGGACCTCCAGTCTGAAAAGCAGAAGAGTCACCGGTTCAGACATCCTTGCAAAGCCATTATGTCTTAGTGCAGAGGAAGATGGTCCTTCATGTGTTTGTAGCTATATGAGTTATCAGGAGCCTATGAAACTTTTGCATTATACTGCTCATACTGAAACAAAAAGTTTGATTCCAGTTAAGAGTTTCCTAAGAGAAAAAATAAAAGGGCACTAAAAGTTAGTGAAAAATTACTGAGAAGGCCAAAACTCCGAGGTTGCATCAAGTGTTTTTCTCCTGTTCTTCTTAACAACAAAAACATTTTTTTCCCAAATAAAAATCAAGATCAAACTGCTAATCTGCATGAAGTTGTAAAAATGACACTTCCATTCAAGCTGAAGTCATTTAACAAGTCAGCAGAGTCCCAGTAACTGCAATTTGAAACTACAGATATCAAAAAAGTGATCGCAATTCAACCGGCAGCTAGGGCATTAGCCAGAAATCTTTCAGAAAAGTGTGTGCTGAATTCTGTGAACCACTAACTGACAGAGGTGACTGACTGACTTTGTGCACATTTTGCTTCTTCATCCCAGCCTTTTTTGTTATTCCTGCAGCTATTAAGTTTTTATGCAGAGAGGCTATGAAGAACCAATGGAAAGACAGGAACAGTTTATCTCAGTCTTAATAGATGAAAGCTTTCAGTGTGGATGGATAATAAAAAGTTGTCCGGACATCCATAAAAGAAAAAAAGTGATACATCCAAATGTAATAGGTAAAGTATAGGGGTAGTTTTATTCTGCAAGAAATAACTGTGAGTCCTGTCACAAACAGAAGACTAACCAAAAAAAAAAAAGTTAAGTTCACCACGTGGTGGTGAACTTAACAATTTGAAACACTCTACATGTGACTTAAGGATTGAAAAAAAAAATCAGATTCAAATGAAAATTTGGAATTTACAGTATTTAAAGAAATGAGACTTACACGGAGAGAAATGACAAAGATAAATGGATAGATACTTTACTAATATTAATTTAAAAGACAAAGCAAGGCTTACTGCACCCCTGGTAAAAGTAGCTGAACTGACACAACTTCTCCACAGCAGCAGCAGCAGCAGCAGCAGCAGCAGCAGCAGCTGTGCTCTGTTATCATCGTGTTTTCCCCTGCTGTCCTGTTTTGCACCAGCAGTTTTGCTGCAGCACCACAGGCAGCAAGCCTGGACTATCTCCTGGCACTCGGTGCCTCAACAGTCCCACTAGATAGTGGCAGCAAGCAGCAGCACTGCCCTTGTTCAAATTCTGATACTGCTTGTGAGGGTGACTCAACAGACAGAGGAACGATGCAGAATGCAAGGAGTAAGTTATAGCTTGAATTTAATCCAGCAAAACATTTGGATCTGGGATTGTGTTATAGCTGCACTAGCTTTTCAAAGAGCAAAGCCCATAAAAATATTCTTTCGAAATTAATGTTGTCTTCAAATGAGTTTGATCAGTAATCAATGACTCCTTCACTAGTAAAACTGCACAAAAGTTAATACTTACCAAATTCTGATCACAATTATTTTACATACACACCAAGAACTCTAGAGCTTTCTGTTTCCAAATGGTATTGCTCTGTAGAAACATAGCAAGAGGGAGGTAAAAGTCAAAGACTCAATACTACAGTATTTGTTGCATCATCTTGCAATCTTGTAATCTTTTCAGTCCAAAACAATCTTGTAATCTTTTTTGTCCAAAAACAAAGATAGTACTTCTATATCACAGCAGTCAACATATAATGTTAGGCCCTCAATAGATAGCATTTAAGCAACAGTTACTAACAAATATGACAAATATATTATTTCCATTGTTGAGAAGAACACATATCACTTCTAAGCCATACATTTATTT